ATCCGGATATCGACGGATAATCAGATCGATCACTGTCGATCGGGAGAGTGCTTGGAGCGTTTATAGCTATTCGGTGCAGGTTTTAGGTTGATCAGAATAGAAAGCTTATCCTTAGGGTATTGGAACAGATTGGAATTCGTGTAGTTCCGTGTAGTTTGAATATATCCTAATATAGAATCTGGATTTAGCGAGAAGGTTAGTAAAGCTATATTGTGTTCACAGAATGCAGTTGACATATACTATCGCGTCTCATTCGAATCAAAATCGATTTGGTGTAAGTAACCAATTGCCACATATCTGATTATTGATTGAATATTGAAAGAAATACAATAGGCTTTTCTCAATCCCGTATATACAGATATTCGTGCTATTTTCATGATTGAATCTAATATGATAAACTACAAAGTCACCATATTCAGTCCGTATTGCTATGAGTCTGTGTAATACTCTACAAAGAAGCTTGAGGCTTTCCGATTCCAAGATATTATATATCGGTTTCCATGCATTATACATTTCGAAGATCAGGCCCCTTTTTTCCTTCCACCATCTGTTCTCGGAGTGCCGACATTTGATACGTAGAACAGAGCGGAACTGCTGACTGTAGGGAGGCAGGATGGGCTAGGGTCAAGCGGCCCATAGAGATTCTTTATAAATAAGCTGGTTTATAGCAATCTCGAATAAAGTTATATAAATATAATAGTATTATAGAAAGTGCTTTTGTTAGACTATTATATCCCTGAAATATGTTTTTATAATTTTGCTTATTTTTGGCAAAGTTGTTTATAGAAATATAATCGAGCTTATATTTGGATGCTATAGCCTGATCTAACTTGTTTCAGGTGACTTGTATTATACGAACGTTGTCTTATTAATAAAAAAAAAAAAAAAAAAAAAAAAAAAAAAAAACAAAGCTCGAGGTATATAACCATTAAATGTTCTTCATGTTTAGGCTTATTCGTATTCTCGAACTATTGATAATAGTACCAAAAGGGATGATAATGGTTTTCTTGCTGGTTTGGTTTTCTTTGTTTTTGTTTTGCGATCTTATTCACTATTGCTAGGTATATCTTTGGCTGGTTTTGTATTATCTATACTTGTATATCTGTATTCCCATTACAGGCTTTTGTATAGTAATAGTTTGTGTTAAAGATAAATATTACTTCAATAGGCATATCTTATTCTATATCAGGATCTTTAGATCCATAATCACTATTAAGTTTATTATTATCCTCTATATATAATAATCGATAATCTTTTATCTTATAAGCTTTTTGGAAAACAATCTTCAATAATGATAACATATTCAAAACCCTTTTGGTCTTTGAATTAATACTTTGAAAAGTTGAGGTATATCAGATTGTTGCTGAATCGATTTGATTATAGATGCTTAAAGGTACAAGCTCTTCTTGTGATAATACTGCGTTATATAGTATCGAGAAATAAAAGAAAGTATTATATTCGCCTAATCTATATACGGGTTGTAGCGTTATAATTATAACAAGCCAAAAATAACTAATATATCGAAGGAGAGTTTCATAATAAAGAATATCCAGATTTCTAAATATAATTCTATTGCTATAGATATAGTAAAGTATTCCATAATAATATTTGCTATATTACTATTGACTAAACAAAGCTATCAGTAATGAGATAAGAGTTGGGTGTGAATTTTATATTGATTAACAAATAATTGATCAGTGAATACTTTACCGAAACACCCGTTATTAATCAGACTGATTATATTAAAAAGAAAAGTATACATTAGAAATATAATAGTTTGGATAAGTAGAGATTTGTTATTTATAGAGCTAAATTGTAACGGTTTAGTACTATCTATAGTATATCTTATCTATTTCTTGTTTCTTGATAACCTTTACGGCCGACTTATTGCAGAAGTAATACATTTCCTGGAAACTTGTATATACTATTGGATAGTAATGGTGATATTGTATTATATATAAAGAGATATTAGAGATACTTTCCAAAGATGCTAAAGAATCATTCTCGATATAGCTATGGACTGTATTAAGCTGTTATTATATGTAGGACTGTTGTTAATGGCCATATTCCCGAAAGTCATTCTAATTGTAATTGCTATTACTTCGATATTATTTGCCTCAACCGAATTGTTGGTTTCCTCTTTCGATATTACTACGACTGTATCCTAATACCTTTCTTAGGGGTCCTATATTGTATCCTCTAGCCACTTATTATATATTGGCTTGTTTTTTTATATTACAATTTCAGATAGAGTAATCTAATTTCTTATAATAATAGCAAAGGCCGAGATAACATTTCTTCTTATATTGTTATACCTTATTTTGGAATTTGATTATATCGAGCTTTATAGAATTATTATATAAAGTGATAACAAGTGTAAAGAGGATTATATTGAATCAAGATTAATTGTAATTGTTTTTTGATAAATCTATATTATAATAATTATTCTCCTAGCAATTCTGGCTTCAAATTGTGAATTTCTTTTTCCACCTTTCGATATTATCTAGTGCATAGAGGCTTGAGTTTATATGAACCATAAGTTTTAGTTCTTTAAAGACTTTTTGCTTTAAAGTAAAAACTATTTCTTAATCAGACTTGTAATATTGATTATCTAAATATTCCAACTATATATAGAATGTTGTAAAGATCTGTTTCTCTGACATCTTGAGTTTATCGAACTGAATTACTGTTTTCTGTTTGAAGTCGATTGTAATATAAAGACTATTAAGCTTTTTGAGAAACGAATTGGTGATTGTATAAACCAAGTTATTTTGTAAAATGTTATTAATATCTTTTAATTGTTTTTGATATATATATCCTTCGATAAGGAAGGCTATATACAAAAGTTTCTTTTTCTCAATATCAAATATAATAACATTAGACATTCAGTAGATTTGTAATTCTTGTTTTCAAACTAGATATTTGTTTTGTTATACTATTACACCAGTTTTCTCTCCTTTAAAGATTTTCGGGTTTTTGAAGGTTTGTTATCAAATGCCAGTAAGTGAATTGAGGGTCTGGGCTGGTATATTTTGCAATAGTTAGGAAAGTTGGTTTTGTAATACTATATTTAATTATATTTGGATTTATAAATGGATTTATATATTGACTAGGGCTATATGTTTGTTATTCAGATCTGCATCTATCCTAGTCTATATGTTATAAAGTGACTCTAATGAATTATTAATAATACTATATAAATAATGTAAGTATAATTATTTATTTTTAGAAAGACTAAGCACTGGGTTTCGAAGATTGGAATTAGAAATACTTGAAAATTTATTTACAAGTTATTGTTATTCAGTAAAGATAATTCGAATATTTGTTTTAAGATTATTGGGTATTTGAATTCTATTTTCTGTAAACAACAAACTAGGTGTATTTGTTATTTTAAAGGCGAAGATAAAGATGAGGATAAAGACGAAGATAAGGATAAAGACGAAGACGAGGACAAAGATAAGGGTGAAGATGAAGTCTCTATCAGAATATTGTTATTAAGGTCGGATTACTATTGATATATAGTAATGGGACCTTTAAGAAGGTAGAATATACTATTATGGTGCAAGGGATAGATACTAGATTGGATATATGATATTCTACAAAGAGATTGAAAGTGGTACAATGTAACTTTGCCATATAATGGCAAAGATGACTAAGCATCCACTACGCTAATATACTACGCTAGTGAACCCGTGACATAATAAATACTGTTCTATCAGAGCTAGGCGATTATGTAATATGTGGGATTCTGATTGCGGTCATATTACAAACAATTTTTCGAGGAGAATTATAATATTTATATTAGTATTTGATAAATATATATATGCAGAAAGCAAATATATGGTAGTGGAGAACAAATAAATTCACTATGCTATCGTAGGTCATGAGCTAGTATATGAGTATATAGTATATAAGAGGGAATAGACTAATATTAGTCTATTATGGGAAGCTGGCTCGTATTAACAACTAAATAGCTATGAAACACGTGATTTTCATGAAACAGTATATGATATTCTTATTTTCTTTTTCTATATTCGAGGGGAAAAGGCCTTATTTTATGCTTTTTCCTACTAATCTAGCTTTCCACTTTCATTTATTTCTCGTAGATCTCTTCCTAATCCAGCCATTCCATCAAATAAAGCTTTTCTTTCTTATTCCTTATTCGATTTCGCTAGTACTATGTCGATCTTACTACAAATGGACTGAAAGAACTAATAAAGAGCTAATAAAGAATTGATTTTCAGGTCGTTCTAGGCTAAGAGCTCTCTTAAGCGACGATCATATGATCTGATCATATGATATTGTGATTTGCTCTTAGTATACTATATGAATATAGAACTATATATATATATAAAAAAGATATATTATTATATTATTTTTTATATAAAAACAATATAATTGAATTGGTTTTAGATATCCTCGATCAGCGCCGAGGACTACACTCCGTGGAAAAGGCAAGAATCATTTTCTCGAGCTTGTGTGTCCAACCAGGACAATCAATCAGATTTTCTCAAAATTTTGATCACAGTCTATATTGAAAAGATTTAATGCTTACAATAGAACTTGAGTGTCTTAAGATTTTAAGGCAATGTTTCTAGAGATTTTTTGGACATGCCCCATGCTTTGCTGTTGGACCTGCTAATAATAGCATCAATTCCCGAGGTCATTAATATCAGGGAATACGTACACCCCCGGGCGGCGGGGTCAGTAGAGACCGCTTTCATAGCATCTACCACGAGGGTCCTTCCGAATTTTCCTGTCCGCTTACTCGTTCTCCTCACGTGATAAGTCTCATGTTAAAAAAAAAGTTGATACTTTGTAGCTCAAGCAGCCACTTGGTTTGTTGGTTTGTGGTATATATAGTATGATGAGGGATACTAAGATGGAGTATATATTTCACATTCCAATCTACTTTGCTATATTGAAAGACACTTCATCTCTACTGTCAAAAGCTATTATCTCATACCAAACATTAACTACTAAACATCTACACAATCACCATGTCAGTTTCTAGTCAACTTGTGCCATTAAGGGTCACAATTAGCCCTAGTAATAGTCACTACATTTACTTTCCTGCCGAAAAAGACCACAATGGCAGAGACGTAAGACGACTTATAATTTTCAGGGAGTTGAAGGTTGAATATGTAAACGCTGATCAAGTTAAACCACAAGATAGCGAGAAAGTCAAGTGCTATATCAAAGTCGGCACTAAATCCAAGGATTTCATCAATGAATCGACAAAAGAGGGAAAATATCTTTCTGAAAAGCACAATGTAGGTATCATCTAATATTCAGAAAGGATCACTGTAAAATTTGCCTACTAATCTTTTGTTATATAGCCTAAGAATAAAATGAATCGCGTAATGGATGTTTGGGCGTCGAAAGGCTGGGTTTTTGATGCTGACGGCAGACCTCTGCCATCTTCTCTCCCAGCTCCATCTGAACAGTCAAGGGCCAAAACTGACGCGTCGAAAGATCCCAAAGAGAAGAAAAAGCTCTTTGGTAATACTCTCCCACCTCTAACAAAAGAACAAATAGCCAAATCGGAGGTGTCAGTCTGCAGTAGATAGCAAAACGAAAAAGGTGAAGGCAGAAGAAAGAACAGCACAGGGAAAACAGCCAATCAGGAATGAGGTATCAAATAAAGCTGGAGATAGTAGAAGAGTCCCCAATCCTCTCTCAACTTCATCTAAACCAATGGACGCCAGTACCTCTAGACGGGGACATTCCGAGGTGTTAGATAGTGACTCCGATGAGTCTTTATTCGTCTCACAAAGAAAACCCACGCATTCAAAGTCTGCAGCAGGTGACCAGACGAGAAAGGCGTCCAGGAATCCTTTAGCGAAGAAATTGTTTCCATCGGACGAAGAAGATAATTCCGCATCTTTAGAATCGCGCCCTAAGCCAAAAGCCACAGGAGGCAAAACTATAGAACCTCCTAAGCCTGCCAAGAAGACGACGACGAATTCTGATCTAGCGGGCGACAAGTCCAAAAGAAGAGAGGGAGGTGGAAGACCAAAGCCCGAGAGTGTTAGAGCGACTGATGCATCGAGTCGTGGAACCGCAAAGAGGCGTGATGATCGTAGTATAAGCAGAAGCAGACCTGCTAAGAAGCCTGAATTCCAGCAACAAGGCGAAGACAGTTCCCGTACTTCCTCTGGTCCACCCCAAAAAGCAGCAGTAAGGCAAGGACTAGCAGTAAGTAAACAAAGCACGAGCACTGGTAAAAGTAGTTCATCCAGAACACGCACTGGCAATGAGCTTGCACCAAACACAGGCGTATATTACAAGTCTAAAGGTAAATACACCTCGGGGAGAAAAACTTGGTCTGACGAAGAGATTGACCCAAACAGACCACCAACAGAAAAGGAGCTACAAGACATGGAGCTAGAAGATGCGGAAAAGATGTGGAAAAAAGAAGCATGGAACAATGCTTTAGTAAAATCAAGCTCGGATTACATAGAAACAAATAGACGGGATAAAAATCGACGGTCATGGTGGGAGAATAGGTAGAGAAGCAAATATATATAAAGTAGATCAACAAGTACTGGGGTCACTTGAATTATAACAAATTGAAAATAAACTCCATACAACATATAGAAGAATGTAATATCCACATTGTGCTATATATTCGGTACTCCCGAGGTCTTCCTTGACAGATCTGACTATTTTCAGCCCTTATGGCGTTTACAAAGTACCCTCATTTCCCTTGCGCAGGGTTACGGATCTCAGCAGCCAACAGAGTATCCTCAAGAGCTAATATCTTTGTACTCTCTACAAATGTAGATTAAAACAGCAATTGTTGCTCAAAAAATGTATTTTGGTGAGCTTTCTTGATGACAAGCAATACGATCTCTAACTAAAGATGATGCGAAGAGCATCGAGAAGCGTTTGAAAAATCTAGAGTTAAGAGTCGGCACTTACAGAAGGGAGGTTTATCTGAAAGTGTATGACTATATACGACAAGATTGAATTCGCAAATCCGAAATTTTTCTTCTAAATAATGATTATGTAACTTCTACCAAGGCACACACATTGAAAGTTAAAAGCCTTCACTTCTTTAAATCTCCTGATAACATACAATTCAGATATAAGTAAGGCGTAACACATCCTATCTGCAATCCTTATTTGCAATATATTATCACGCTGTACCAACGATTCTAGATAAATATTGGTATCGATAAGCAATGAGAAATTGGGAAATAGAAGCTTCGAGACACTAAGTCCAGAATTCGAGGTAGGGAAGATGCCTCCAGAGACGAGTTTTGCTTGGAATTGTGATAGATGAAGTATTTTGTAACTACCTACCGAGCTACTTTTTAGGTCTTGTATATAATGCGAGGAGAATGTCTTGGAATGTGGGATCGATGTCATATAGATAGGTATTCACCAGAAGTTCAAAAATCGAGAGCAAAAATCGGCTGAAATTTTTCTCGATGCTGTGATCTTTGGTGTTGTTCGAGATATAAATGAGATTCGCACTAAGTATGTGGGCAAATAAAAGCAAGGGTTTCCCAATCCCTTTTCATCTACTTTCTTCCTCATGTCGAAACATCCGCTATTTCCTAGTACTCTTCAACCTCCGCGTTCCCTCGGTGAAGCGGAATCAACTATTTGATAGCAGTCACTACTGTGCAGCATTCAAGATCCCAGCAAGCTTCACACCCCAATCAAAAGTGATTACCCTCGGCCGAAATCGCCCTCATATCTTGCAAGAGCTCTTCCCAACCAAGAGGACCCATCACCCAGTCTATCGTCCAAGAACCAATTTACTATTCTCTGCTCTTCAGGCAAAACGTCTGGTCTAGGTATTTTATTCTGCGTATCCAATCCCTCTCTCGCCAGGAATAGAATAGCGGATGGTATCTTTCTGCCTGGCAAACTTGCTCACTTGGTACCTTGACAACTGTTGATTTGCCAGCGTAGAATGATCATTTTTTCCTCTTCTCTTTTCTTGAATCTCTTCCGAGTTAGTCGCGCGGACTTCCATGTTTGAATCTAAAAAGTCCACTAGGGCTTTTGGAAGCGAGGTTGAGAAGGTGGGACATGCAGTGTCAATCATGAATAGCTTCTCAACCTCATTGTCGTCTTCGAGAAGCTGTCATATAATCTCATAGGCTACCACACCGCCGATAGAGTACCTTCCGATCAGGTATGGGCCTTCGGGCTGCTTCCGCTTGATTTCTGCTACGTAAACAGTAGCGAGCTCCTCAAGTGTAGGTGGTTGTCTCGGATCGGGTTTAATTATTGTGAAGGGAATATTAAGCGCATAGACAGACACATTCTCAACAGCAACCAATGACGGCTTTAGGCCTCTAAATAAAGCTCCAGAACCGAATCCACCAGGGACAAGGAATAACTTTCGATTTCCTGAAGCCAAATTCGCACGATGCAAAAGCATGGAGGTCGCTTTAGCATGAAAAGGGACCTCGGTATCGGCAAGCATGCCGCAAATGACTCGAAAGCCTCGGGACTCCCGACTTATTCCATCGGGCCAGTCAACGTGGGAGAACCCAGCCAGCAGCTTGCATATCTCGTTCCCAGGCCCAAACACTTTGCATTGCGTAGAGACGACCATCATCAAATAGCCACCATCTGGAGGAGTCTCCTCGATGTTGAGTTTCATAAACTTCATACATTCGACATCCTTAAATGTTGTTTTCATAGCGCGTGCGACTAGCAACGTCGAGATATCGGTGAAAGTGTACATAAAGGGGAGTCCAATGGCTTGTAAGAAGGGAACAAGGTGCTTAGTGGTGCCCCCGGTACCAGCACCTACTTCGAGGATATGTAAAGGGTCATGTTCAAAACTCCGACAGCGAATGATTGCCGAAACAAAATCACAAAGTACTTTCACAGCAGCGAGTGCATCTGACGTGCTGAAATTAAAGTCATAAACGAGGCTACGGCCTTTTCATTACCGTATAAGAAAGAGATGGGATTAACGTCACCAGTGAAAACAATCTGCCAGTTGAGGACCCGCAAGAGCTATAATTCTGTTCATTGGTAAGTAATAAGGGAAGTCTGCAATGAGCTTAATACTCAAATCTTTGGCAGACATGGCTTTATTGTCAAAGTCTTTGGCAGCGGAGCCACATGCGAATTCATCCCCTATTTTCTCGACGACTCCTGCCTCTTCCAAGATTTCCCAGAGCCGTAGAATCTCTCTTCAATACTTACTAAGTGTGAGTTTTACAGCAGGTAGCTTCTCCCCTTGGCGAAATCTTTTGATAGGACAGCCAAGTTTCTCAAAACCTTCTATGATGAAGGCTGTGACAGTCTTCAGCTGGTCTGGGTATACCTTATCCCAGTAACTGAAGTAATTGGTGGTTTTAGCATGAATATCGAAGCTGTGACGAATATCCTGAAAAGTTGCATGTATTGAAGCGGCGTCATTTTTGGTCGAAGTCGTCCCTCTTTGTTTTCAGTCAGGTTTATTTTCGTGTAAAAAGCCGCTGCGCCATCACCACTTGAATCTGAACTTGCTGGCAAAGATTTCGACGGACTAGTTATTGGAGTCTGCACTAAATCAACATCCGATGCACCAGGAATCAAAGTAAAGATAGATGCCACATCGACTATTGAAGCGAATTCTGTCGTCGATATATCGACCCAAATTCTTCATTCAGCTTGCTGATAATCTCTGTTGCAACAAGAGAATCGGGCGCCTAGGTTGTCAAGATTGAATCCATCTCCATTTCTGCAATTGGCACGCCGAGAGATTCACTCAGAATCTTGAAGACATCCTTGTCCAGTCTGAAAATGTATCATTTGTTGTCTCGAAAGTGGAGACTGGACTTTGTTTCTCGTCACTATCACTACCGGTATCAGCAATGTGGCCACCAACTCGCGAAGAGATCAGATCACATAAAGATGTGACATCGGTTAATCGTTCAAATCACCAGTTGAGATATCAATTCTGAATTTGTCTAAGATTTTAGCCTGGATTTCTGAGTTCACCAGTGAGTCGGTTCGGTACCAAGCTCATCTAGCGTGACCTGTTTTCATAATCATCGAACTCGAACTTCTAGACTGATCCATTACTTAGTCGCGGCTTCATATACTTCATCTTTAGCCTCTGTGGCATATAGAATGTGAACAGCAATAGTGTCAAGTGTTGAGAGGGGGGCTATTTCCATGGGATCTCTGACATCTACAATTTCATAGCCCTCACCAACAAGCTGTTTTGGTACGTGAACAAGGTTTCATCTGGCTGCCCGTTACCGGTAAGGAAGATCACTCTTCCAAGGCTAAGCGGTTCCTCGCTTAAAAACGCTGGGACCAGGCGACCCTGTGGTTTAAGTTGTTGGCGTTCATGACCGCTTGCTTCCTCTGAGTCCAGTGGTCTCGGTGATAAAATAACCTACTACCAACATTTATCAAATTCTAGAACGTGGGGAAAGTAAGTGGAACGTTGCGAATGTTCAGAATATTATCATCCTCGTGTTTCAAAGAGCTTATTTATCTCTCCTACTCAATATCTCGCAACATAGATTTCTAGACCGCGCCCGCTGCTTTCTAAAATCCCATCTATCGTGGCCCTGCAGCTAAGCTATTGAAGTCTGATATGAACCTCGAATCACTAGTCTGTAGATGTAGATGCACTTGCTTCTTCAACGAGTAAGGCTAGCGGCTCTTCGGCTTCTTTCTCGTCTAACATAACAATACACCTGCTGTATATCACCCCCCAGTTGCAGCTAGCTTTTAGTGAAGTAATTTTTTAGGGCACTAGCCATGATTTCAGCTACTCTGGAAACACGCTTACAACCGCCGAAATACTCGGCCGATGTACGAACATGTAATCACCCAATCTCACAAAATCGACCAAACTTCTCAATCCATACAAGAAATCATCCTTGTGTTCATTCATATATTCCTATTCTTCTCGGGAATTATCCCTATGCATCTCATCTAGCTCATCTCATCTCCTCTCATCACATCACACCTCATCTAGCTCATCTCATCTCCTCTCATCACATCACAATCCTAGCCTACTAAAAAGATAATCTGACTTCCCAACCACAGATATATCAATACCAATCATATCAATATCAACCTCCGCATTTTCCCTTTCCCCTGATATCCCCATAAACTCCTCGCAAAAATGCAAAATAGACAAATTTGGTTCCTACAAAACAGTAGACCTATGAACCAACAGATCCCCTCATGGTCTACACGATCCCTTATGTACTCCGAAGAAAATGCAATTAATTCCGTTACCTATCCATTTCATCCATAAAAGTATTTATTCATTAATACATCCATGAATCCATTCATCCATCCTGCCAGGTCAGTCCCTTCTCAATCCAAGGACCTCTCATACCATTTGGTATCAGACCTTACAATCAAAATGATATTATGACCATTTGATATCACCACTAGGCGGTCTCGTTGTTCTCCTCCTATTCAACTTATGCTCTGGCACACTAACCGCATTTGAAGACGTAGGTCTGATCGGTTCTCGTTCACGTTCTCTCTCTCGTGGCCTAACTCCATTCTCTCTATTTTCCCTTTTAAGATGTGATGGATCATCCCTAAGCTGCGGTGCCGCTATTGATGATCGTGATGCACGAAGGAGCGCCGTTCGAGGTAACCGGCTTTTGCTAACTGACGTCCCATTTGTTAAGTCACCGCTCGCTTTTCGCATAATGGATGTTGTGCCCTCTGTAGTTCTAGGTCGATAATGCACAGATTCGGTACTACTAGATGCCGTCGATGTGATACCCGAGCGCCTATAAGGTGTAACACTTCCATCAATGAATGCTGACGTTTGTGACATTCGACTAGCCTGAGTGGGCGTCAAAGGCGTCGACGCGCTATGTTGAAGAGAAGGTGCCGTGAAAGAACTTCCACGTCTAGGGGCCAATCGAGACCTTGAACCACTTCCACTTTCTGAGGCTTTATCCAAATTGAACTTGACTAGCTCACTTGCCATATTTCTTACCAGCACAGCGCTATCATTCTCAGCGAGATGTTGTATCACTTCAAACAAGGCGTGATGCCTGATGCTTTCTGCTTCATCACCACTAGCATCGCATATGCTTCGAACAATGCGTAGCAAATTTAATCGCACAACAGCCTTCTTGTGGTTAAGTTTTTGCAGGATGCCAGTGAACAGATCAGTCCGGGTAAGAGAGCCAGCAATAGGCGAACTTAATCGTAGGAGCTTTTGTAAAGGCTCCAGTAAATTATAGTCGAAGGCATTTGCTTTGGATACAGTAAAACATTGAACTATCATTGCAGTAAAATTACCCTCTAGTAGAGCCTTTTCAACTCTGGCCGTCTCCTCTTGGAGCCTGTATAACACGATCAGTATGCAAGTTTGTTACCTATGGGATTCTAAACATACCAAATGAATATAGCGTCCAAAGCGGTGACCTGCCAGTATTGATCTTCTAATAATGAAACATAAAACTGTAATCCCTTGTTCTGCCAAAGATATTTACGTCCAACTTTCCCCGAATGTGCCATATCACATAAGATTGGGAGCGCAAATTCCTTCGGAGGGCGTTTCGTCTTCATTATTCGTTGGAGTAATGGTATTATACCGTTGAAGGCTGCGTCCTCCTGTCGCTCCTTACTCAGTCGACATAAATTGTACATCGTATTCAGAACTTGATTAGAAATCTCGCGGAAGTGATCAGGCGTGCGCTTCATACTTGAGCTTAGCAGATCGATTAGAAGTTCGATGGCGTTTGCGGCATGTAAAGATTCGAGAGTTGTTGATAACATGGATAAGTTCTTGATGAACTTGAGCATGGTGATTTGATGCGCGGGTGTCATTCGTCTCAGATCTTTGAGAACCCCTGAAATGTTGTTAGAACAATCGTACCGCAAACAGACAAGAAAACCTACGTTTGAGTACTACATGATCAGCCACGACTTCCTTGACGTAGTTTTCTGCTTGAGAGAAAAGATAGAATATATTGACAATTCGGCCTTCAATAAGTTCAGAGAGTTCATCATCTTCATCTAACACGCGGTCCAAAACGAGCGCTAATGGGGATAAGATCTTGCTTCTCGAGAAGATGCGACAGAAATCATTCTTTGGAGTTGGCCCCTGTTAGGGTGTTAGTTTATCGGCTCGAGTATCATATAAACCAACATACCTGAAGCTCAAACACATTCCAAATACCATTGACACCGATGAGAACCAAATCCCTAGCATCATCATAGTCCTCGTCGAGAAATTCAACAAGGACATTCAGTCCACCAGCACTGACAAACATTTGAAGTGTCAAAGTAGAAGTTTGATACATTTGTCTTACAAAAGCAGCAGCCTCAAGACGTATCTCATTCGAGTATTGCCTAGCAGCAAACTTTGTGATGATAGGAATTCCTCCAACAAAGCAAAGATTTTCTTGAATTTCGACATCATTCGAAATGATTGCATTGACGACCTTCAATAATCTCAATATCATACTTTGACGGCTTTTCAGGGTACACGGTTCTAGTATCTCCAAAATTGGAAGCATTCCATGAGCACTGATTATCAGGCCCTTGCATCCTCGGACTCGTAACAAAATATCAAGCTGATTCACACATTAACACAGTGATACATCATAATTAGCAAGAAACATACCAATTGTTCAGACAATTCAGACAATACATGCTCGGCTTGTGTTGCTTTCAGTGAACTCACCAATCCTTCCACTGATGCGCATAATCGAGCATGTTTATCTCTGGCAATGTTGGCTTGTAAATCCATTTCATCGAAACCTTGCTCCAATGAGGCAAATGGGTCATCTTCATCATCCTCGTCACCAAGCCAGGAGTTGTGTGAAAATTTTGAGTTGATCATTAGCGCTTCTCCCGAGCCTTTGTCAGTCTCAATCCTAGGAACTACAGCCCCACGTGGATCAAATATATCTGAAAAATCTTCATCATCTTCATTTTCCGCGTATTTTTGTATCTCAACTGATGAGTTTGTACGATGTATGGATGGGTTGTCATGAGAATTGGGAGTGGTTTTTCTTCGTAAGCTGCTGCCTCCATTTGTGGTAGGAGATTGAGCAGAACGCGGAACGCTTGTCAGGTCAGATGGGTGGAAGAGTTTCGGAGAAAGAGCATCGTCCTAAATTCATCCATATTAGTGATGCGCAGGGCAGCTTACTTGGGATACTGACTTTAATTATATCCAATCTTTTGTCAAAAATGCTATCATTGTCAACGAATAGGTCTGAATAGTCTTCTACGGTAGTCTCGCGATACATTATTGCCGGCCTGGAAGGCAAGGCAAATTTACCCTCAGCCCGTGCCTTGACAGGAGATCTCGGACGAGAAGGAATAGATGGCTTTCTGGAAAAACTTCTAGGAGAAAGGTCTTCTTCAAAATCTATGTTAGTGGGAGCTTTGATTTTGTATGGTCGAATTGTCTCCAATTCATGGCCATCCGTCTCGACATGGGTTTTGGGACCCTTAATTGTCACAAGATCGCCCTCAAAGTTATTATCCCAATTATCGGATTCATCATTTGCGAACTCGAATGATGCAAAAGACTTGAGACGATCAGCGGAAAGGAGGCCTCCGAAATTGTCATGAGGCTTTAGATGTGGAAGTTGAAGCGCACTTGGAGATATAGAAGAAGCGAAGTCATCATCCCAATTATCGTCCGCTTCGACAGTCAGTTTCCACAAGGAATTTTTGAAATTTCCTAGTGAGACTCGCTTACCTGCAGTTTCTGGAGACCTGAAAGAACTCGCCAAACTTTTCGGTTTAGCCACAGAGAGGGGGCCCTTCGGAGGGGTGATCATATTATTGCTTTGCGATTCATTATGAATGTTCCTCAGAGGAGGATCTCGACGGGCTGGTAAGGGGCTACCAAGCTGTTGCGACCTCGTAGAAGTACGAAATGTTCCGGCACTGGTGGGAGATTTTAAAGCCTCATTCCACTGCTTCACCTCTTCGACCGCTTCATTGAAATTCGTTGGGGGCTTTGCAATAGGAGCATCAGTTCTGCGTGAGCCCACGATCCAAGCATGTTTCAACAATTTTCGTGCAGAAACCCTTAGATTTGGGTCTTTTTGGAAACACTGAATAAGAAAATCTCGAGCCGCCTAGAAAATGTTTAGTCTTGGCTTCAAAGAAGATATTAACGTCGACTCACTGGTGAAACTCCTTCGGGCAAAGGAGGGTGATC